GGCAGGGAGCAATACCTGCTGCCCTCGACTGCCCCATGCAAACCAAGCAAATGGTAATTTCGTGAGCTTGGAGGTCTGACAGGTGTCTGAGGTCCATGCTCCTATTACATGAGGAATTAAGAGACAGCGATATTTTAACTCTCTCATTTTCCTGTTGTAAGTTGACCTTTCTCCTTTGCGACTCATGTATATCTGAAGCAGTTGCAGATTTTAGTGTAGTATTTTGAACTTTTGCACGTTGGCAATCTCTTACTCAAAGGTACAAATATGTAAGGTTCTTCTTACATTTGCTGTAAGAGTGAAAAATATATCAGTAATAATCCTGTATTATTTGTGTAGTCTTAGAATATGTGGATGTATTTATGGGCAAATCAGACCATGTTAACTTTTGTGCCTCAAGTTTTCGTCAATAAAATGGGGTTAATACTATTCTCCTGCCTTGCATATGTGTTCTGAGGATCCATTTAATCATACTGCTGTCATGTAACTAGCATTCAGCAAAAGCCTATAACTATACTTGTAAGAAGCAAAAATCGTGTGTTATTTAAACTTTAATCCAAACCGTGTTGTTGCTTTAATAAAAAATAAGGAGAAGTTAGCATTCCTGTCAGTCAGAAACTTGAATGGGGAAATTCTGCCCCTGCTATTTTGTTTATTTAACTTTTGCTATCAGCAAGTTGAGGTCACTTAGGGGCTAGGGTTTTGCAAACCTGATTTCAAAATCTTGAACTCTGGCCATATTTTTGGAACTGACAATTGTTCCCATTTGGTTTGTGACCATGGGAGTAGGAAACTGGGATACCAAAGGAGGCTTCTTGCACCCAAAGTAAGATTGTTCTCTATCATAGAAATACAAATTGCAGAGAAATACAAATTGCTTTATAAAATAGCAGGTCTTTGGCCTTGCTGGTTAGAATGAGGACAGATGGAAGGGAGTATTTTATTGCAATTGTATCAGCTGTCCGAAGCCAAGGAAGTTAAGCTGCATCAGTACTTGGGCCTAGTGACATGTTATACGTAGACAGATAAATAGGACATTTCCAGAGAATTTCTAGAGGGTGGTGTAGAAAGTTATGCTGAGTGTTCAGCAGGTGGGACTCTTCCCTTAAAATCAGCTCTAAATCACAAATCTAGTGTCACTGAGCCATTGCATCAACAAGTGTAGGCACCGCAGTGGCATGGCCAGTAGCCACCCAGATAGGATTAACACTCCTGCAAGTTTCTCTCTGAGGCAAGTATTTCCTTGTCCTCACTCTGTCTTGCCCACCATGACTTAGTTGGAATGAAAAACAGGAGGAGTTGCTCAGTCTAGGAACAATCTTAAACCACAGAGAAAAACCATGGCTAATAGGGCTACGCGAAACAGCACAGTTCTGTTTCACCTTCAGTTTTGATGGTTCGACAAACAGCATGCTGTTTCGAATTTTATTCCGAGTCGAAACAGATGCCTCCCCATCCCTATCGCTAGATCATGCAGGGGGCGGGAAGCAGCCCAGCTGGACTGCTTCCCCCATCTCTGGTGCTAGATTGCACGAGAGGAGGGAGGCAGCCCAGGTGAGCTGCTTTCCCATCCCCCCCCCCCACATGATCTAGTGCCGGGAATGGGGAAACAGCCCAGGTGGGCTGCCCCTGGTGGAATCTAGTGCTGGGGATGGGGATCTAGCATGGGGGTGGGGAGTCAATCCACATGTGTGTCTAGGCTCTCAACTGAAGGCCTCAGGCTTTGCCCCCAGGTTAC